CCAGAGGTGGCACCCAGAGCCCTCTCTGTAGGCACGTGCGCCATTGCCAGCTGCTCTTCTGGTTTCCAGCACGCACATGTGCCCGCTTGTCTTTGGTTTTCCGGTGCTTCGGCCCACGAACATACACATGTTCCAGTTTGGGCACTCGGTGCCAAAAAGGTTCACCATCCATCACTGATATATATAGTATTCCTCCATTTAGGGAGGCATAGAAGTGAGCAAGTAAAGTATGTATTTAACTTGCTGCATTAGAAGTGTAAAAATCTTCATTTTTGTATATTTTTTCTAAGTTTAGGAAAGGAAAAAGTGAGATTAAAAAGTAGTATGATTGAAATATAAAATGCAACTTCCATATATTAAATGCAGGCAGAAGGTACCAAGTTAAAAAATGTTACACTCTTAGGTTGCCCTTATTGCTGCAGAAAAATTACTGTATTTTCAGTAGATGTCTAGTTACTGTTTAGAGTTCAAAGTCTTAATACTTTTGCAGTGTGGAAAGTAATAAACTTAAGCATGAAAGAAAGTCCAAAGAACTTTGCAAGGAATCTGTCTTACTTTCATAAATTGATTTACTGATATGTATTTTCAGTGACCTATCAAGTAGGAACTGTGAAATATGTAGCCAGCACAGGGCAGAATTTATTTGCATAAAAAGCATGTATAGACATATTTAAATGGCATCATGCTGCAATAGAAATGCAAAAATTCTTCCCTATAAACTTCAAGCCAATGGCCCTTATGGCACAGCTGGTATCTAAAAAATAATAATGACACAACTCTAATATATTATCTAGCTACTATAGCCAGACATATTCTAATAAATATTCAATGACTTAAGATAAAGAATAAATGTACTTCAAGAGCCACAATTATTCTTTTTAGCCTCATAGTGATATCTATGTAGGTTGTTCTGTTTTTTAGTTTTAAATATACAACTCTATTCTAGGAATAAAATGGTTCTTATTTATTTCCTTTTAGAAGTTTAAAACTCTGGTTAGAACTGTGGTATGTGCTGTGTGCAATATGACGGGCCAAATTTAGCATTTCTGCTGAATTTAACCTCATAGCAATAGCTTCCCTTACTCTATCTTATGATTTTAAATTATGACCTTTTGCACTGTCCCTGGCAGCAGTACCATGTTTCCCTGAAAATAAGACAGGGTCTTATTTTCTTTTTACACCCCCAAAATAAGCACTAGGCCTTGTTTTCAGAGAGGTCTTATTTTTGAGGTGCAGGAGGCTGCGAGCATGGTCACCTCATGGCTGCTGCTGTGTTGTAATATTTTCAGGGAGGGCTTATTTTCGGGCAAAAGGGGTAGCAAATTATAAAGGTCAGTGTTCAGAAGACATAATGAGATGCTATAATGGCACAAAGTAAACCAACCTACTTATTCTAGAGGTGGTATGTGGATTGAAAACCAAAATTCTATTTGAGAACAGTGGTTCTCAAACATTGAATGAACATTCAAACATCTTCATGAATGTCATGAAGATTCGTATTCAGTAAAAGGAGAAAGGGAGAATTACATCTAAGTGCTTTGAGGGAGAGCAGTAACAGTGGGTATTGACAGGGGTGTCAAACTGGTGGATGCGTCCCATACATGCCACGCCCACCCCAGCTCTGCAAATTTAAAAAAAAACATCATGAAATGTCACATGACGGCAACGTGACACAGTGAGTTTGGTTGTTAGCCGCCCTGAGTCTCTCGGGAATAGGGCGGCATACAAATTGAATAAACTACAACTACAACTACCCGTAGCCTAATACTTCAAAACATATTTCACTTTAAAACTGTCGAGTTGCAACCTATCAAAAATTTCCAGGATGATTTCGGCTGGATTTAAACAGATTGAACAACTCTCACAGCATGCATAGAATAGACACAAAATTTTACATCATTGAGGCCTATAAATTTCCACAAGATTCTTATTAATTTCCAAAATCTTCCCCAGAGAGAATGGTGTTTTACTAGGCAATAATGTTTATCATTTATAGTACTGTTCTATTGAAGCTTTTTCTTATGAGAGTCCTTTCAGAACAGATCTGTATACTTGTAACAGCTTGTGGCTTTCTTTTTTAAAAAATCCTTTGAGATACAGGTAGTTCTTGTTTAATGACTTTTTTGTTTAGAGATAGTTCCCAGTCACAGCAACAATAAAAAGGTAACTTTATTATTTACAGTTCTCACATGTATGACCTTTGCAAGTAAAGCAAAGCAATCAGGATTTTCTTCCCATCTTGACTGTTGTACTGCCTTGCTAAGATGTGGCATGGATATATAAACAAAACATCCATCTTAAGGATGCATGCTATTTAAAAAAATATTGATGTCCAGGTCAAAAATTGATTTCCTTGTCTTCTATAACTATCCTGAATAATTCATCCCCTTTTTCTACTTGACAGATCTTCAAAGAGAGTTTATATCTCCCTGGAGTCTTCTCCAGATTAAACCTCCACATTTTCTTCGCACACTTTTCTTTCAAGCAAGATATAATTTTGATTGTTCTCCTGTGCATATATTCCAATTTGCCAATCACCTTCCTAAAATGAGGTACCTAACATTGATATATCAGGTGTGGCCCGACCATCACAAAGAACCAAACCAATAAATTCTTTTGATTTTGACACTATAGTTCTTTGTTGAGAACTACATCTCCTTTTTTTGAAGCTGTATTTTAAATATTTTCAAGCAATCATTAAAATTAAATATTTTAAAGGAAACATTTGGTTCTCCTTGGAAATAACACTAGATATTGGAGGACACCTTGCAAATTGCATTTAATATGTATAGTAATAAAATTAATATACCTTTTCCTTAATAGTTAGACATTATCAAATACTCAAGGGGCCTTACCAATACAACTGTCCTACAAACTCAATTGCTATTGTCTACATTGCCAATGGGTTTCAGGTGTCAGTGAGAAGAGGCTAAGAAGAATCCCCTGAAAGCTTAAACAACACTAGCCAAAACCATATATGTGAAAACATATTCTTGGGATTTTTTTCTAGATAAGTACAAACATCAAAAGGAAGAGAGACAACAATCCAATTTCAATGGTTGGCACAGAACGTTGATGATGACATGTCTACAATCCACAGACAGCAGAAGCATGATGGAATTTGCCAGCAAAGGAAGCCAGGTCAAAGTTCTTGGAAATAAGCTTTGTTAGAAGTAAGTCCCACTAAAAAAAGTTGGGATTATTTGGTCCAAATAAGCATAAAATCAAGCTGTAAAACATAGCAAGGGCTACAGAGCAAATCTAAATCATAGAAACAAAATACTCCCTCACTCTGTAGGCCTGGTGTAACATACAAAACTTTAATGATATGTCATGGGCATTGTCACAAAATGGGTCCTATTTTGGGTATTGCCAATCATAAAATACCAGAGAGATAATCTGGAGAAGGTGTTCCTCATTAGTCTCTGTAGCCAATATTCTGTACTTTCCGCACTCACTTATTTAATTCTTTTTTCAAGATGTGGATGCCTTCTAAAATATTAGATTTTAGGTATTCACCTTTTCTATTTTCTAAGAATGTCTCTTTATCTACTTATATTTTTTGAAAAGGAATATAATACTTAAGGATGATACTTTGCTTTGCAGTATCAGTTTTTTAAATAATTAATACGATTTAAATGATAATTCTGCACCAGTGAGGTTAAAACCAATTTCGTTGTATTTAAGTACAATGACAATAAAGATTATACTTATTACATCCTGAAGGCTTAGTGGAGAGACCAAATTGGCCTACAAGAGAGGCCAAATGAAGAATAAAAAAGAAACATGGCAAGGGAAAGTGTTATATAGCCTATTTCTACAAAATAGGATTATGGCACATCAGATAGGAACACCTCTCTTATCACCTTGATACTGGTTTGCCTGTAGTTTTTTTCTACAAAAAGAAGGATGAGTATTTTCCTTCAAGTCACAATTCTGCTTAAAGTTCTTATTCCTCTACAAATCTGCCACCGACTGTCAATGCTAGGTAAGAACAGTCATTCTGCAGGTTGGCATTTACAAGGTTTTTTTTTTACTCAAAATTAGTTTAATCTTTCTCACAAAGACAGAATCCTGGAGTGGTGGTGTCACAAAATCTTCAATGTGAGGGCATGACATAATAACAGCTTTATTGAGTTGTGAGAGTTCATATTTAAAAAAGTACATACTGCCTATGTAGGACTTTTGGGAAGAACACAAAACATTTCTCTTTGGTTCACCGACAAAAGGGTGACCGACAAAGCGCGCCTGACTAAACCGCAGTGAGAAAACTGCTACTTCTAAAGCGCTCTGACAAATGAGCGCTGAATCACGCCGACAACAGCGCGACAGAACCGCGCTGTAAACCTAACCCTAACCCTAAACCTAACCCTAAACATAACGCTAACGCTAACCCTAAACGTAACGCTAACACTAACCCTAAACCTAACCCTAACCCTAACCCTAACCCTAACCCTAACCCTAACCCTAACCCTAACCCTAACCCTAACTCTTACCTTCTTCTGTCGACAAGCTGTAAATCGCCCTTCTGTCGCCATGCTGTTGTCGCCGCACTGTTGTCAGCGCGTTGATGATGTCGCGGTTTTAGCGACGTGGTTCTGTCGGCGCGCTTTTGTCGTGCGTGCTTTTGTCGGGTCACGTTTCTCTTTATATGTTCTTTTACATACATGAAACACAGTTAAAATAATGGTCTCACTAGATCTAAAAAATATGATAATNGGAAGGAAGGAAGGAAGGAAGGAAGGAAGTTCTAGATTAGCCAACTACAAATAGTTGCCCTTGCCAAGTTATACCTAAAGAAATATAAATTGCAAAAGAGAAGAAAAAATCTTACTCATACTAACATTGTCTTCCAGGCCATGTTAGCATTGTCCTATATTTCTTTGTCCTGTGGCATGCATCAAGTCTAAGACAGAGTGATGAATCATCTATAGGGGAGCCAACTGCCTGTTATATGTTGATTTTTATATTATTCTTGTTTTTCTCACTTCTCATGAAAGATATGGGATGAGAGGCTAGCCAGATCTGCAGAAGCATGGGCAAAACGGTGCCTATGGGAACATGGACCTCCACAACTGATGACACTGATTGGACAAAACCTTGCCATACACTCTGGCAGGTAAGGAGTGTACTTCAGCAATGCTTGGGTGTTTTGTGATGTCAAATGGAGCCAATGTCTTGCAGAATTCCAGAGAAGTTGCTTCTTAAAAAAATCATATTAACAAGGTAGTTCACCTCTATTCAGTCCTTAGCAAATAAATCAACTATGGTCTTCTGACTATGCATTTCTTTATGATCTCAATATACATATAGGTGCCGTGGCTGCACATAACCCACATGGGAAGCATGGCTATAGTATTCACACTCGTGTGCACACTTTCAGTTGTTCCTTTTCCTTTCCATGGCCTTATAAAAAGCAGTTTGTGAATTCTTCAGTGTTTATGTTAAGCAAAGGACTTTTTTATTTTCCCCACTAGTTTTTCTTCCTCTTTGTCATAAGATAATAGATGTGGCATATTGCTTTTCCTAGTTTTTGGAAGGGTAGAGGTGGGAGGGGGAGAGAGTTTTTTTTTTAAAGGAAAGCTTACAAATAAAACAAGAAATTGTGAATTATAAATGCCTACAACATTGTAGAAGTGAATCTTAATAATAAAACTATTTTTTGTTTTAAGCTTCATATAAATTATTTAATGTCTGCTTTGTACTTCTGTCAATTTCTTTGCTTTTTCTTCATCATTTCTCCTTGTCTATTCCTGGCTGAACATCTGGACATTTCTTGTCTTCTTCCAAAGCTTTGTTCCAATTGAGGGAAACCTTTTGAAGAACTTTTGCCTCATGTCATTCTGAGGGAAAGAAATACACTCCTCTCTCTTCTCATTTTTCTTAGCTGTAGTCTCTTTTCCTATTGCCTCTTTTCATCTATCCCTTCATTTGCTTCTGTACTTTCACTCCTGGGCTTTGGCTCTTGTATTCAGCCTTTTCTTTACAAGGCCTCTGGCTGCACAGCTGCCCAGAAGCCATCTTGCCTCCTCTCCTCCACAGAGCTACAACTCTTGTCCAATACTGCTACTTGATTGGCAGCTGAGTTGTCCTGACAATGGGGTGGGCCAAGAAGAGAGGCAGAGGAAGGTATCCAGAGGTTTTTAATCCTTCCATCTATCTGATTCTTTCCAGTTTGTCTAGTTGTGTTTGAACTGCAGATATTAGTAGTGAATTCTAGAGATACCCATATTTGATCTCTTGGGGGAGAAAAGATATAGATGTGGCGCCGTATGCCATTTCCCCCTGTCAAATGATTTGGATATTGGATTCTTTGCTTCTTTTATGAAAATAAATGAATAATTCATACACTGTGTATGTCCTCTGTAGGTACTATTCAGTGATGGACCTAGTAAAATCTTGGTATTATGAGAAGCAACACTACACATTTCCTTATCCCCATGAATGCAAGCCTAGATGTCCTTCCAAATGTAATGGTTCTGTTTGCAGCCATTATACTCAGGTAAATATTTATTTTATGTCTACAGCCATTATAGCTAGGTAAATATTTATTTATTTTTTACTTATGTTGAAATTCTCTATGTTATTTTTCAAAAACAGGTTTTTCAAGAGCAGTTTTAACATATTGACATCAGCTTGAAAACACAACATATCATTAACTAGACATTACAGAACAATATTGTGCCTAAGGAGTAAAAAAAAAAGACATTTAGATTAGTTTATACAGATCCTTTCATTCACCTTATGTGTGTGTGTGCATATATTAATGCTTGTAACCATGCAAGCAAAGTTGAATGGATGGATGATTTTTTTAATATTAAGAAAAATCCATTTGGTTTAAGATTGGCTAAATACTTTTGTGTATTTCACATTGCAGAAACATAGTTTGTAAATCTCAATAAACTGTTCTCACACAGATTTTATTTCCAAACGTGTAATTCCTCCTTTCATTGATTCACAAGTTGCTCCCTTTTTTAAATAAATAAAGCAGTTCCATCAATGCAATACTTTTCCAGCTATTTTGTTTTTGAAATGTATCATTTCCTGTTGAAATGATTCAATCTCAAAGTGTTTCCTTTATCCATTAAAGAGATCACAAAAATTTGGAACATAGGATTATATATCAATCATACGATTATACACCTTCAACTGTGAGAGAAAAAAATGTTTGAACAACAGGTTGACATTAAAGGGGATGAATAATTATCACAGTCCAGCCAGAAAGAATCATCCAGATGTTTATAAACATAACTTCAGGCATTTCTGTTTACATCCATACTGAAATGGTCATTTAGACATCCTTAAGGGAAAAAAATTGATGCCTTTTTGGATGGATGCTTATCCAGGACCCTTGATGAGCTATGTATCGGTCTATCCATAACCAAAATTGATTTAGGGCATTAGCACTATTCATTTTATGCTTTTTCCACTTTTCTTTCATCAAAGAACATGGCCAATTTGATGAACTCATTCCACTGACAATTCATTTATTCTTACATCTAGTAGCACAGATTATTCAGTCAATCATCTGGCAATCCTGTTTTTACTCTTCCCATTTCCAGACATGATTTTTCTTTCTCCATGAACACTGTCTCTATTTAAACCTGAGGAAAGCAAATTGTCTAAAAACCACAGAATGGCCTGAAATAACACATACAAGCTTTCAACTAGGAATATCTATGATTCTTGGATAATATTAAATGTCCTCAGACTTGAGCTACTTTGTTTTCCAAAGTGGATCAGCAAATATTTCCCATCTTAAAGCAGAAATAAAATATCCCAACATTGATTAATGTATTAGACCTCCTTTTTCATGATTCCTGCAGGGTCCATGCAGGAAAATCTTTTATTGTGTAATCTCCCTATGTTGTTTGTGGAATTTTATGCAATAGACATTTCATCTTCCACTTGTAGTTTTCTACTGTAGGAAGTTAGCACCCACCCCTCTCCTAGGAAATTGAAATATTTTAGGAAATATTGAAAAGGGCAGAATATTTCCCCTAAAAGGGAGGCAGAAACTCAGCACCCCCCACCTTTGTCAATGGGATATTAAGGCCTGAGCCAGTCTATTCTACATAATAAAGATCTACCTCCCTCAGGCAGAGCTATAGTAGGAATTGCCCAAAGCCCTCTACCCATCTCACTACATGGCACCTGGGAAGATTACATCAGCCAGCAAGGCTCAACCAAGCCTGAAACAGCCTACAAAGTTAGCTAAGACCCCTGCCCCCTGGGAGTCTGACCACCAATCAGAATACATTTCTTAGAAAGGAACAGGAAGCTACAAGGCGGGGCCCAAGTGAGGGTATAAAACTCAGGTTCTCTCAGCATCTCTCCCCCTTTTTCTTCAAAATCTTCCAGGCATGTGATCCCCTTTTTTGCCTGGGACCTCAAACCATGTGGTCCTGCTTTCCACCATTAAACTTTCTTTCCAAGCAACTTCCATGAATCCAGTGTCTTTTTTCCCCACTTGGGCATTTCTTCCAACACTACCATGATTTTCCACTTTTCTTTGGTAAACAATAGTAATGGAATAATAATTCATCCATTGCTTTCAGATTTTCTTACAAATAATAAATAAGTAAAAGAAACATGGTAGGTGCCAAATGCCACTTGCTTTATGGCACATGGAACCCTTCACTGGAAATATTCATAACATTTCCTCCCGCTCCCCAGTAGTCATTCGTTCCTAATGACTAGGGTTGCCATCCATATTTTTACCTTTTTTTCCCCATGAATGGAATCGTTTAAAAAGGGATGTGGATAAGATTGGTAGTCATAGTAAAGTTTTTCAAGACACTCACCGACATTATTCACCAACATGTGAGGATCAAGCTGTTAATGATGCAGGGACTGCGGCAATTAAAATTGTTGGCAGTCTTGAAGTAGTGTTTCCTGCCTGGGGAATTAAGAGTTCATACAGCTTTAAATGAAAGATTTGTCAACTGTCTTGCAATGTTTGCCTCCAATGTTTTTTTTTTGGGGGGGGGGGTAGTTATCATTCTCCATTATATTCTGATGCTAAAGTCCTATGGAGATAAAATTCTATTTGGGGACAGGGACCTATATGTTATTATTTAAACCCCTGCTCCTGCTCCCCCCATCTTTTAATTGGGCTACAGTATAGGCTTTTTGTAGTATTTTATTTATGTCTTTTAGCTCTGTATACTTTATTTTTTATGATTGTTTGTAGGCTGGCCAGAGTTACTCTGATGTAAGATGGGCAGCCAATACATTTTACAAAAAGCAAACAAACAAATAAAATAAGGTACCAGCAACACGTGACTCATATATGTTTTGAATGGAGCCTTTCTTCCTATTCCTGCTTCTCCAAGAGTAGAATGGTGTGTTGAAATGCTACTAAATATCCACCAGATGGTAATCTCACCTTTCCATAATTTTAAGCATGGGAAAGCAAGAATATTTCCTCCCCTATCCTTATTATCAGTGCTTTCTTTATAGAAACTTTTAATCATTAGGTCCATCAAAGTTTGTTTAAAGAGATCAGTCTTTGTCAGTCTTTTCTTACATCCATTATGCACAGTCAGCATGGCCATTGACTGTAAATTTTGGAAGTTGCTGTGCAACACATCTGGAGAATATCCACTAGGGGAAGGCTGACCTAGACTATAACCTTAAGTGGATACCATAAAAGGAACATAGGAAAAGTCCAGCTGAGACAGATCAAAATTCTGTAATGTAGAATCTGTATAGTTCTGTTTTCTAGGCCCTGAGCAGGCAGCCAAATGCTTCTTGAAATGCACTATATATAGGAAATGGATATATAGGAAATACTATATATCAGTTATCACTAAATAGCAATTTCCTTACTGCTTCCACATCCCAAAGTAACTGAGGGGTATGAATAGTATCATCCAGAGTATGTAAACATTCCATTTATGGCTAATAACCATTGTTGAATAAGCCTTTCTCATTATGTAAAAGACAAGCATCCCATTGTTTTTGGTAAATTATTCTGTTTTTGGATCTACCACTCTCTTACAAAAATGTGGTAATGTCTTCCTAACAGATGGTGTGGGCTTCCAGCAACAGAATTGGCTGTGCTATCCACACTTGTACCAACATAAATGTGTGGGGAAACACATGGCGGCAAGCGGTCTACTTAGTGTGCAATTATGCCATCAAGTAAGTAACCTATTTGGTTGACAATGAAAATAAAGGATAAAGAGGAATCGGAATACTTGAAGACATGGGGAAGATTCTATGATTGGCTAGAGCAGCAATGGCGAACCTTTTTTGGCTCGCGTGCCATAAGAGGGGAGAGCAGGGGGGTTGTGCGCGGGCGTGCCGCACCCATAATGCAACGCATGATCCCCCCTCAGTACGCATGCATGCATGAGAGGTGCTCCCCCCATTTTTTGCATGCTTTTTTCACCTCACCCTCCCCAGGCTCCAGAGGCTTTATAGGAGCCTGGGAAGGGCAAAAGCAGCCTCCCCTGCCCTCTGGAGGCCCTCCGGAGGCTTCAGGGACCTTCAGGAGGCTTCCCTGAAGCCTCCGAAGGACTAAAAACAATCCTACGAGCAAACCGGAGATTTTGCGCTCCGGGGGTTTCAGGGAAGCTCCTGATGCCTCCGGAGGGCCTCCGGGGGAGGAGGCTCTTTTCGCCCTCCCCAGGCTCCTATAAAGCCTCTGGAGCCTGGGGGAGGCGAAAAATTGCTTTTAAAAAAGCTGAATTCAGCTGGCCAGCACATGCATGCGAGCTGGCCAGCTGACAGGGCAATGCCTTGCGTGCCCTGACAAATGGATCCATGTGCCACCTGTAGGTTCGCCATCCCGGGGCTGGAGAAAGGAAACTAGAAAATAAAATAGGGAGAAGATATAGAACCTAGACGATGCACTGTTAAATGGAAAAGGGGGGGAAAAGGGGAAAACAGAAAAGAAAATATTAAATATATAAGTATACAGGCAAAAGCGAGCTATAAAGGGGAGGAAAATATAGCTAGGGTAGATTAGCGAAAGTAAGGGAATAAGAAATGATATCAAATTATATTTGGGTCTGCGGAAATACCATCCCAAGGAAATATAAACTGAAGCTGGAGAGAGATACCTACAATACTAGAAAAGAAAGAGAGAAAGGAGGAGAACATGAAAGGAAGATGGGGGAAAGAAGAAAGAGGCAAGGGGAGGAGGATGGAAGGGAGAGGAAGAGAAGGAGAGAGAGTAGGAAGAGGAAGAGGAGGAGCAGGAGAAAGGCAAGGGAAGAAGGAAGGGGAAGGAGAGGAAGAAGGAAGAAAGTAGAGAAGGGAGGGCGGGAGAAAAGAAAGGGAAATGGGGTGGTGTTGCAACAGGAAGAAGGGATGGTAAATACAGCAACTCAAATTGTATATTATAACCCATTAAATGAAATATTAAATGTATAAGAATGATAAATTTATAGAAAGAATAACAACTATGTGAATGTATACTTAAAATGCTATATGACAGAATAAAAAAAAATTAAACCATTTTTTTAAAAAAAGTAAGTAACCTATTTGAGTGTCATACAAATACATTAGATGGCAACCTTCCATAATTATGGGGAACTACAGGTATCATTCAACAATTCAGTTTTAAGTTCAGAAAAGCTGACTTTAAAAAGGACTCATCATTGATAGAGAGCAAGATTAGGATTAGTATAGGTTAATATAAGGATATAGGGGAGAGAAGAATGTATCAAGGAACTGTTCTTGATGAATCCCATAGTGCCATGATGGCAAACCTATGACATGTGTGTCACAGGTGGCACACGTAGCCATATTTGCTGGCATGTGAGCCATCAGCTCTGGTGCACACATGGTTTTCTGCCTTCCAGAGGGCCGGGGGTGGCTGTTTTCACCCTCCCCAGGCTTCAGGAAAGCCTCCAGAACCTGGGGAGGGCGAAAAACAGGCGCAGCGGGCCAACCGGAAGTTTGTTCCCGAACTTCTGGTTGGCCCGTTGGGCCCGTTTTTCGCCCTCCCCAGGCGCAGGGTGGGGGTCATATGCACATGCACAGGTGGGCGAGGCACATTTAATTGTGGGTGTGGGCACACACGCTATCGCGCAGGCGCGCACAATTTTGGCATTTTTTACAATTTTTACAAAAAGGTTCGCCATCACTGCCATAGTGCCTTCTGACAACTAATAGATATTCTTGAGAGGGGGAAATGGTAAGGGAAGAGGCCTAAACAGAAAGACTAAAACATAAATGCAGACTTTTTTGGATCTGGATCTGCATGTAAAATGTGAGTGTATGAGGAAAGAAACCAATTTGCAATGAATGATTGAGGATTGAAAATGGCCAATCCTTGTAATATCATATACTTTCAAATATCCTTCATATTTAAAGATAAAGTGTATGGGAATTCTTATCATTTAAGAAGCAATTCATGTAATGTAATTTCTTTATTTATTAGAGTATGGCCTCCCAGTACTGCTTTAAAAACTCTGCACATTACTGTACTACAGAAAATAAACTCAACAAATAATACTCAAAGTAGCCCATAATTTGCCTATTGTTTCTGGCTCATTGCACCTCTGATTGATGTACTATTCTGGATCTGCCTCTGTTAATCTTGCCTGAATGTCAGTGAAGTTTGCCAGATTGGCCCTGAGTAAGGTTATTCAGGCCCTGTTCCCAGTTATGTCCAGTCTCTCTTGCAGCACAAGCCAAAATGGCCATGAAAGTCCCAGGAGGGTTCCAGGATTAATGACTGGAAGGGAAGAGGCATAGTCATTGCAAGATAAAGTGACCCATCAGAGCTGGGCATATCCCAACCACTGACCATATTGCCAATTGCATCGTTGGTGAGGCATGCCAGATTGCGTCCATGGCAGAAATGGTGTTGAGAGAAAAAGAAAACACTTAAAACTGGAACACTTCCAGATGACTTAAACTGCCTAAACTACGTGATGAGACAAGGCAGTATGAGGGCATGGCAGAATATAGCATATGCTGCAGTGAAGGGGAAGTTAAAATATCCCTTCTATAGGAGTGCAGAAAGGTGTTTAATTATTCCTAATGCAGAGAGACAGCAGCATCGCTAATCTTTCTGGTTTGCTTTTTGCTTGGGTTGCTATCCTGCCAATCTGTATCAATGGTGAACATGACCAACAATTGATCCTGTTGAACAATGATGTGCAGGTATTATGGAGAAGAGTTTCTCTGATAATAAATAATTCCCATACAAGTGGCAGGGGGCAGTGGCGGATTAAGGCTCACTGGTGCCCTATGCACTGACAAATTGTGGTGCCGCCCTCCTTTGTACATAACTGTACAAATGAAGTTTGTTGAAATTTTTTCTTCTTTCTCAACTTTGTGATGCCTCCTTTGGGCCTGGTGCCCTAAGCATGTGTGTAGTCTGCTTAACGGTTAATACACCCCTGGCAGTGGGTGAAATAAAGCTTGCTTCCTTCCATTTCCATTTCCATTTCTATTGCTATCTATACTAAGGTGACCAGACGTCCCGCTTTTGGCGGGACACACCCGCCTTCCAACGCATTTTCCCGCGTCCCGCCCGCCTTTTTAAAAGGCACGCTTTTTTTGGCGCTCGTGTGTGCGTACCCG